AGCCCTGACGTTCCCTGTTCTGAGGCCCCCCCAGCCCTGACGCTCACTGCTCTGAGGCCCTCCCAGCCCTGACGTTCCCTGTTCTGAGGCCCCCCCAGCCCTGACGTCCCCTGTCCTGAGGCCCCCCCAGCCTTGACATTCCCTGTTCTGAGGCCCCCCCAGCCCTGACGTCCCCTGTTCTGAGGCCCCCCCAGCCTTGACATTCCCTGTTCTGAGGCCCCCCCAGCCCTGACGTCCCCTGTTCTGAGGCCCCCCCAGCCCTGACGTCCCCTGTTCTGAGGCCCTCCCACCTCTGACACTTTATATTCTCAGGCCTTTCCAGCGCTACCCTTCTAATGCTAGTTTTGCCTTTCTTTACACCGTCAGCCCTCCGTGCTGTGCCTCAATCATCGTCAGCGCATAACGAACGCTTGTCGGTTTTACTGATGGGCTCTATGATAGCGGGGGGTTTCTGGACGTCTTGTCTCTGGATGCCAGGCACCGAATAAACAAATGGGTCCGTAGATGCCGTTGAATCCATGAATCAGTGACAGTTTTACACACGTAAGGAAACTCATTCAAAGTTCATTCGCACCAACAATTGATTTTCCCTCCCTTGTGACAGATTTTAGATGTGTGGCAATTAGTGGTTAATCATTCTGTTTCTTTTTCAATATGAACATCATAAAAAGCAGGCTGCCCCAGCCGGGGCCTGGCGGACTTTGGAAGGGCTCAGCCTTCAGACGTCTGCCTCCTCATGTTCTCAGGCGGCACTTCCTGCCTTTCCTTTAGTCCTGGGATTCTCGTTGAGAAACCCGTAGCCGATGACCCCTCGAAAAGGTAATAGATGAGAGGTCTCCCTCGGGTTGGTGGGAAGGTCGAGAGGAAGGTGTTTTTAAAAGATAGGACTGGACCTGTGGTTTCTTTGCTATAGTGACTTTCCAGGAGAACAAACTCCCTTTACCAAGGCGGCTCAGCACCTTCTGGCAACATACGGTCTCAGAGAGTGGCCTAGAGCAAGAGGATGGTTTCAGTGGCTTGCCCGGGGTCCCACAGCGTGGAGGTGTCAGCAGCAGGACTCGATTCCAGGTCTTCCTGGTTCTAAGGCCAGATCTCTAGCCTCTGTGTCTTATGGCCTCTACTACATGTTTTAAATGAGGTAGGAAAAATAGAAGTTGGAACTTATCAATAATAGGATGATTTCCAGATGGCTGTGCTTGGGTCTTATTCTCTGTTACTGTAGACACGGGGCAGTCCTTAAATAGACTTTCATTCATTCATTAAGAATTGTAGAACCACAGAATTTTAGAGCTGGGAAGGACCTTAGAATATAGAATATCAGAGCCGGGGGAGGGTCTTAGAACAGAGAAAGTCTGAGTTGGGAGGGTGTTGTAAAACAGGGGATGTCAGATGAGAGGGGACTTAGAACAGAGAATATCAGAGCTGGAAAAGACCTTACAACAAGAATGTCTGAGCTGGGAGAGATCTTAGTACAGAGAATGTCTGAGCTCGGAGGGATCTTAGAACATAGAATGTCTGAGCTGGGAGGGATCTTAGAACATAGAATGTCTGAGCTGGGAGGGATCTAAGAATATAGAATTTCAGAGCTGGGAGGGGCCTTCAATATTGAACTCTAGAACTGAGGTTTTCCACAGACTCTGCGAGTTGTAAAGCACATGATAGGCACCATTGAGCACTTTTGACACCCAGGATTTCCTGGGCAGCATGAATAGAGATCTCAAAACAACTTTTAAAAAGAAGTTCAGTTGGGGATTAGGGAAAGCCTTCAGAACTTGGAACACAGGGTTCTATTGGGCATGGGGGAGGCAGGGAAGAAAGGGCTGGTGACACTGCCTTGGCTTTGGTGGGTAGACCCTGGACACCAGGGAAGGATGGGTGGGGTTCACCTGGGGTGTGGCTACAGTGGGGTGGAAGGAGGCAGGGAGAGGGCCTGAGCCAGGGGTGAGGAACCTGTGGCCCTCCAGGTCCTCAGGTGTGGCCCTTTGGCAGAATCCAAACTTCACAGAACAACTCCTGGGGGCCACACTTGAGGACCTAGAGGGCCACGTGTGGCCTCGAGGCTGCAGGTTCTCCACCCCTGGCTCAGAGAAAGCACGTGATATCCTGTCATCTTTGAGTTTCCCATTTTAACTTGTGGTCTTGCTAACAAATTGCCAGGCTTGAAGGAGCACAGGCACTGCTAAGGGCCCCTTAGTTCCAGCGCCCTGGGGGAGTGCTCCTACTGCCCCTGTGACTCATTATTAGACGTGGAGGAGTCATTCGTTGGTTTGGTTTTTGTAGCCCACGAGGGCAGTGAACAAATCAATTTCAACTTCCAAACCCTACCAGCTTGGAAAGAGGAAGCAAAGCCTTGTACAAACATAATTCTTCTGGCCCTGGCATTTTCCTCCCAGCTGATTGTGTATCAGAAGGATTTACCGATTTGGGAGATGGAGCTTAGGAGCTCAGGTCATTCACTAAAAGGCATGAACCCCTGGCCCCAGGAGGAACAGAAGCAGGCTGGGCCTTGGCCGGGCCGTTTCAGACAGATGGTGTCGTTAGAAAGCAAACCATTCAGTGTAGACAGGAGTCGAGGGTGGTCGTTTGCCTAGGGCACTGCCGGCTCACTGAGTTGAATGGGCGAGAGCATCATTAATTCTGAGCAATGGTCAGCAGCTGATTGAATTAATGAAATATCACAACCGCCGAACTCTTCCATTTGTGAATAGATGTTTTTCTTCCTTTTCCTCTTGTTCTGGGGGAAGCACTGATATTGCCTTCAGCTATTGAGGGTGATTGGGGGTGCTCACAGGGCATCTCTGGTAATCAGAATTCCAGGACCTTCCAGATTATGCCCTGGTAACTGCGCACTGGGCTCCAACCATGATTCTCTAACTTTTTCTGTTCATGACTTTGAGCAAATTGCCTCTTCTCTGGGCCTCAGTCTGCCCATCTTTCAAACCAGCAGGCTGAAGTAATTGACTTTTAAGGCCCCTCCCAGCTCTGACATCCCCTGTTCTAAGGCCCTGATATTCCCTGTTCTAAGGCCCCTCTCAGCTCTGATATTCCCTGTTCTAAGGCCCCTCCCAGCTCTGACATTTCTTGTTCTAAGGCCCCTCCCAGCTCTGACATTCCTTGTTCTAAGGCCCCTCCCAGTTCTGACAATGAAGGAGGGCAGTGTGTAATAAATGTGCAGAGGTAAGCTGGAGCGAGATCATGAAGGCTTCAAATGCCAAACAGAGGAGAAGTGTGTAGTTAATCCCAGAGGCAGTTGGGAACCACGGAAGTTTCTTGCAGAGAGACTGATGTGATCAGGCTGGGGTTTTAGGAATATAATTGTGGCATCGTTTGGAGGCTGGATGGGAGAGAGGAGAACACGGGATGTGAGGAACCCAGAGGGGTCAGAGCTTTAGAATCGAAAAGGACCTTAGAAGCCATCTCATCCAAACCCCTCATTTTTCCTGGTGAATAAGATGTAGGCCCCAAAAGGTTAAGTACCATGCCCAGGGTTACTCAGGTAATAAATAATAGCATATATATTGCCTTTTAAGGTTTTGCAAAGCACTTTACAAATATTGTTTCATTTTATCCTCACAATATCTCTGGGAGGTAGAGGCTATTATGATTATTATTATCCCCATTTTACAGATGAGGAAACTGAGGCAGGCATAGGTTAAGTGAATTGTATACCACTAGTGTCTGAGGCTGGATCTGAATTCAGGTCTTGCTGATGCCAGGTTCAATGCTCTATCCATCGTGCACCTAGCTGCCTAGAGCTAGGATTTGAATCCAGGACAACTAAGTCCCAATGCAGCACTTTTGCCCATTGTACCGTGAGGCCCTGTCATGAGTGATGAGGGTGTGGACTAGGCCCATATAAGAGTAAGATGACCTTATCTGTCCCCAAAGGTAGCAAATAAAATTAGATTAGTCCAGTGGTTCCAATGTAGAGGGTCTTGGAAGCTAAATGGGGAGTCATTGACTATATAGGAATGTTTTTTTCTGAGCAGGGTTGTGCCATGTTGAAGATTAGTGTGCTGGTGATAAGTGAGGTGGACTGGCTAGAGGAGAAAACACATCCCCCAGGAGAACGTCAGTGTCTTGGGGCCAGGGACCTGCTCATTGCCTTTCTTTGTATCCCTCATGCTTAGCTCATTCCCGGCACATTAAGCTCATTATTAATAAGTCACTATTAATAAGTGCTTGTTGACCGACTGAATGACCTGTGTGTGAGCAGATGTGGTTATGGACTCAAGTTAGAGGAGCAGTGAATGATAGGACTGGGACAAACTCAAAGGCTGTCTGGTCCGGCCCTTTCATTGTGCAGATGAAGAAACTGAGCCTCTCAAGCCCTTTTCAGATATCTTATTCCCACCTCACAACAACCCTGGGAGGTGGGTGCTGGTATTATCCTCATTTTACAAAAGAGGAAACAGAGGCAGGGTCAGAGATTAAGTAGCAGTCTTCCCAACTCCACATTCAGCACTCTATAGAGGTGCAAGCACACTGCTCGCATTAGAAAAATTTAACAAAATAAATAGTAATAGAAGATAGATGTTGTTACTTTGTGGTTTTCTAAGTCAACACATGCCTGCAGGGACCCAGAGGTATCATTTAGCAGCTGTTTCTATTTGAGTTTGACGTGACCCCTGGTATCTGTCCGTAGAAGTCTGCGTTTTCCAGGGCCATCAGGCCCGTATTCTGCTGCACATCTAGACCAGGATCTGGTCAGCCATTCCCTACCTTCCTTTCCTTTTCTTCCTAAAGAATCAGCCTCAGGGAAGGGGATTGAGTTACTGAGGTCGAGGAGCCAGTGGATGGTAGCGTGAGGGCTGGGGGCTTTCTTGGGTCTTTGGAACCCTGAGACCAGGGGCTCTTCTGCTGAAAAGTGTTGTGGGCAAAGTGTGGAGGAATCATGGAGTCGGTGATTGTGGTGACTGAAGATAGAACCCTAACGATTTTGGGGGATCTGTCTGCGGGTTGAAGTTCCACAACTATGAATTTCTCTTCTTTGTCCACAGGCCTGCTGTAATGTAGACAGATGGCCCGGTCCCTGCCCTGTCTCCCGTCTGCAGTGGGAGTGAGGAGATGCCCCCGTTCACAATGAGAAGGGACACCCAGACCCTGTCTCTACTGGTAAGGAGAGCCTCCATCTGACACTGGGGCTAAGAGCAGGGGACCCAATAGGCTTCTTTTCTTCTCCTCCTTTGATGATAAGACCAGAGACAGCTGGTGGCAGAGTGGATCTAGTGCTGGGCCTGGAGTCATAGAGACCCGAGTTCAAATGTGCCTTCTGACTATGAACAGCCAGGCGATCCTGGGCAGGTCATCTCAGTTTCCTCATCTGCCAAATGGGGATAATAGCCCCTTCCTCCTGGGGTTGCTGTGAAGATCAAATGAGATATTTGTCAAGTGCTTACCATAGTGCCTGGCGCATAGTAGGTACTATATGAATTCTTATTCCCTTCTCCTCCCAACCAATAAGGATAGGTGAAGCATTTATTAGCCACTTCCTATGTGTTGGTCCTTGCTAGTAATCAGCATTTATTAAGCACTTACTGTGTCTTAGTCCTTGGCATTAATCAATCAGCATTTATTAAGCACTTACTGTGTATTAGTCCTTGGTATTAATCAATGAGCATTCATTAAGCACTTTCTATGTGCCAGGCCCTGTGGTGTGCAGCAAAGACAACTGACATATTCCTCCCCTCAAGGAATTTGCAGCCTTTAAGGAGAGACAACATATACAATCCACATGCATGTGAGAAGTGCAGAGTAATATAAACTGGGGAATATTTTAATAATAATTATAATAATTAAACATCTCATTGCTATCTTTTGTTTTTGCATCTCCTTCATTTCCTTATACCTTGAGAGCCATCCCCTGTAACAAAGAATAAGAATTCAGCAAAACTAAGCAATACGTTAGCTGGGGCTGCACGTGCTTCACAGCCGAAGTCCCCTGAGAAGATTGATTATTTTATTATAATTAATTATAACCATGTTGTGGATATGACACGGATTATAATGATGACGAACATAGCAGAGGTTGACCGAGTATTTTATCTTTTACAAGAGCTCTTTAAATAAATGATCTCATAGCAAATTTGTGAGGTTCAGTGCTCTTATGATCCCATTTTCCAGACATGGAATTTGAGGCTCACAGAGGTTCAGTAAGTCAATAAGTGATTTGCCCAGGGTAACACAGATCGTAGGTGTCTGAGGTAGGATTTGAACCCAGGTCTTGCTGACCACAAGTCCACCATTCCCTCTTTCTATCCATACTGCTTTTTCTAAGGGATGCTTTAGCACTCTTAATGCTCTTGGGATCTCTGCAATGTTGGCAGGAGTAGGGATTGATAACAATCATCATGATGATTGATGATAGGAACTGGCATTTCTATAACGCTTTGAAATTTGCAGAGCACTTTACATAATTCTCTCATTTGGGCCTCATGATAATCCTGTAGGGTAGGAGCTACTAGTTTTCCCCATTTTACAGATGGGGAAACTGAGGCTCAGAAAGATTCAGTGACTTGTCCATAGTCACACACCTCAAAAGCATCAGAGATAGAATTTATACTCGGGTGAGCTGAGGGATTTCATGTCACATTGCCTTATTAACTTCTGCTTTTACAGATGGGGAAACTGAGGCTGAGGGAGTGAAGTGCCCTTGTCCACTATTAAGTAGTAGAGCTGGGACCAGAATCTAGATCTTCTGGCCCTGAGCCCAGAACACTTTCCACCCCACTTTGCATGCTCCCATTTTTCTGGCTCAGGACACTTGGCTTTGAGATACAAAAAGGTCAGCCTGAAAACGAATGAGCTGCCTCAGTTGGAGAACCTGGCTGAACATCCTCTCCCATTCCCGTCCCCGAATGTGCCTCGATGTGCTCTCTGATGTTTTGTGGCACACAGTCTGTGAGTGCTACTCAACATGCTGTTTGCCCATCTTCCTCTTCCTGACAAAGTCTGTTCCGTGTTGCTTTCCAGGAGGCCATTGCATGAGTCAGGGTCTGGGTGCTGTGATGGTGTAGGGCCTTCTGTACAAAAGCCTTGGAAGGAAGGGTCTTGCTTCCTTCTGGCCTATTTGTGGGGGCCTGGCAGAATTTCAGGAAGACCTCACAGGCCACTGAGTCCAATCTATGCCTGAGCAAGAATCCCCACTACAGTGCCCCAAGAAACAGACATTCAGTCCTCCTGCTAAACCCCCGGAGAGGAGGGGAAACCTGTTGCCTCTGAAGGCAGCCCAGTCTACTTAGGTCAGCACTCGTTAGGGGTCTTGGCTTTGCCTCAAGGCGATATTTACCACTTTGTAACTTGCAGCCACTTTGTAACTTCTGGCTCTAGATTAGATTCTAGAGGTTTCCATGATGCTGTGCTTGCAACACCAGGGTCCAGCAGTCTCTGGCGCATATTAAGTGCCGAATAAATGCTTCTTGGTTGAGCTGAATTATAATAATAATAATTAGCGTTTATGTAGCACTTTAGCTATCTCGTGTGATTCCACGTGACAGGCCTTGAAATATATGGAGACAGTGGTCATGGCCTTCTCATGTCTTTTCCTGTTTAAATATTTCAATTTCCTTCCATTGATCTTCCAAGGACATGGTACCCAGTCCCTTCACCATTGTGACTGCTCTCTTCTCAGTGCTCCACAGCTTACCAGTGTCCTTCCTAAAATGTGGCATCAGAACATTGTAGTCCAGGTAGAGTTTGCCCAGGGCGTAGAGCGTGATGGGATTATCACTCTCCAGGGGACAGGGAGAGGGAACAAACATCTATTTAGCACCTCCTGGCATTAATCTTATGATATAATAACGTATTGCCTCATCTGATCCTCACAACAATCGGGCAACATAGACGCGATTATTATTATCATGTCTTACGTATCATCATATTTTATAGTTGAGGAAGCTGAAGCAGACAGAGTTTAGATTACTTGTCTAGGGTCACACAGCTAGGAAATATGTAGGCCCAGACACAATGCTTCTTTTAACGCAGGCCAAGATTTCATGAGTGTTTTGGGATGCTGCATCACTCTAGGGACTTTTGAGTACGTGAGATACTGGGATTGCCAGATCTTTTTCAGTAAGACAACTGTCTGGCCACACTTCCCACATCTTGTAATTCTGGAATGATTGTTTTTTTCCTCTACACATAAGAATTTCTATCTATCCCTATGAATTTCATCCTTTTAGAGTCAGCCTAGCTGGGAGGCCTAGTTTCATAGGAAGTACAGCTCTGAAATGAGTCAAAGTGAGGTGATGGGGAAAGTCACTTCCTTTCTCTAGTCAAGTAGAGATGAAAATCCCTTTGCTGCCAGCTTCACTTAGATGATAGCAGATTCATGGGGAACATGCTAGCTGTAAAGTATGTAGAGGAGGGGTTCATCTTGTCTCTCCTGGCCCCTGGGGACAGAACCAGGGCAGTGGCTGCAAGCAGCAAAGGAGGCACATTTAGGCTTGAGGTTGGGGTGAGGGGACCCTAAACAAATTCCATAATGGACGGACCTGTTCAGAAGTAGAATCTGCTGTCCCCTGGAGACCTTTGAGCAGAGACTGGATTACTCTGTGTGTGTGTGTAAATGTGAGTATGAATGTGTATGTGTGTATGTGTGTGTATGAGTGTGAATGTAAGTGAATGTATGAGTGTGAATGTGCACATATGTATGTATGTGAGAGTGTATATGGGAGAAAGAGAGTGTGGGTATATAAATGTGAATGTGAATGTATGAGTGTGTGTCTATATGTGTATGTGAATGTGAATGAATGTATGAGTGTGAATGTGTACAAATGTATGTGTGTGAATCTGCATATGTGTGTATGTGTTTATATGTACGTATGTGAGTGTCTGTATATGTATGTAAATGTGTGTATATGAGTGTGTGAATGTGTGCAAATGTGAGTGTGTGTGAATGTGTATGTATATGTATGTATGTGTCTGTATATGTGTGTGAATATGTATATATGTGTGTGAATGTGTGCAAATGTATGAGTGTGTGAATATGTATATGCATGCATACATGTGTGTGTCTATATATGTGTGTGAATATGAGTGTAAGTGTGTGAATGTGTGCAAATGTATGAATGTGAATGTGTATGCATATGTTTAGGTGTGAGTGTGTGTACATGCATTTGTGTGAGTATGTGAGTGTGTCCGTATATGTGTGTAGGAGAGTATGTGTGTATATATACAATACAATGAACATATTTATTTAGTGGCTACTGTGTGCCAGGCATTAAATTCTAAGTGCTGTGTGTGTGAATGCATGTGAGAGTGAGTATGTGAGTACATGTGTGTGACACTGTAGAAGGGATTCCTCAGGAATGGTTTGGATAAGATCGCTTCTGAGGCTCCTTCCAACTCTGAGATCCTAAGCTTCTGTGCTCATGGGCTTATTTTAAGCACCAGCTGATATAATGAGTGAAAGAAAGCCTCATTATGGCAGAGATGCCAATTAGTTTTCATCTTGTTTCAATTTAAAAAGTTACTGATAACATTTCCCAGTAACTCCCTCCCCTACCTATTGAGCCGTGTGATGTAACTAAGTAGAGGGAAGGAAAGAGGGAGAGAAGGAAGGAAATTCAGTAAAATGAGTCAAACACATCAGCTGAGAATCACAGTATATGCAATATTCTACCCCCATGGTCTTCCACCTCTGTAAAGGAGGGAGGGAGGTGCTTTATTTAGCTTTCTCTGAGGCCAAGTTTGGTCATTCAGATTACACAGTGTTTAGTTAGTTTCCTTTTCTTACTGCTCTTGTTACATTGTTGCAGTCACTGTGTACAGTGTTTTTCTTGGTTCTGCAGACTTCATTTTGCATCATTTCATACAAGTCGCCCGGTGTTTCTCTGTCCATTTTTTCTTTCAGCTCAGTCATATTCATTATACTTATATCCCACAATTGCTTTAACCTTTCCCTGTTCTGTAGGCACCGGCTTTGTTTCTGGTCCCCTTATCTACTACAAAAGTGAATATTTTGGCACATATGGGGATGCCAGCTATTATAATCCTCATTATGAAAGCAAGGAGAGGCAGGGGTGTGTGTGTGTGTGTGTGTGTGTGTGTGTGTGTATGGGGGAGTGATATTCAAGGCCACTGTTCTCCTATGGACCTTGACTCTTGTTTCTTGTCCTGTTAATATATATATATATATATATATATATATATATATATATAATTCCTAAAGGTTTCCAAGATGCTGTATCTATACCTCCAGGGCCTGCCACATAATAGGCACCTAATTAATACTTGTTGATTGAACTGAATTGAACCAGTGAGTGCCACAGATAGTAGAGATATGAGAAATTTCTATAATGTACCTGTTAGAAGAAGGAAGGAAATAAACATTTTTAAAGCTCCTACTGTGTGCCGGGCACTGTGTTATATAAGCCCTTTTGAAATTTATCTCATTTGGTCTTCACAACAATCTCAGGAGGTAGGTGGGATTATTGCCCACATTTTATAGTTGAAAACTGACACAAGCAGAGATTAAGAGACTTGCCCAGGATCATACAGCTAGTAAATGTCTGAAACTGGATTTGAACTCAGGTTTTCAGGAAGAAAAAGAAGTGAGAGAAAAGTGATTAGAAGACAGGTGGCCATCCACCAAGCTTCAGAGCCCTCCCCCACAGCTCCTAGATACAAAGAGAGATAAGACACTGTGCCTGCCCTCAGAGAAGTTGTAGTTGCTGGGGAGAGTTGGGAGAGGAAGGAGGACATGTATACACACCAGTGACTGATCCAGATGGATGCAGATGACTGCCTCTTATAAATGTCAGTCCATGCCTGGACTGCTTTCCCTCTCCTCTGACTCCACCTCTGACAGTCTCTAACTTCCTTCCAGGCTCAATCAGTAAGCTGATCCACAAGTGTTTTATTAGGCACCTGCTGTGTGCCAGGGACTTCAGATACAAGAACGAAGAATGAAATACTCCCATCTCTTAAGGAACTTACAGTCTAATGGAAGAGACAACAAGGAGCTGAGTTCATTTTCATGAAGTACAATTCCCTCCTTTTACATATAAAGAAACTGAGGCACAGACAGGCCAAGTAACTTACTCAGGGTCGTACAGTAGTGTTGGGTTTCCCAGGATAGGTACATACACAACTATATATGCTGCATATTTGTGCAGTTTTATTTATATTATTGTTTAATATTTATGCATATTTATGCAAAAAATAAATAAATACTTGTATTTACAAAGTCATTAAATACAGGGGGTTTGGGAAGTGAGGACATTAGCATTAGGGGGCATCAGAAGAGGCTTCATGTGAAGATAGTGTCTGAGCTGCATCTTAGAGGAAGAGAGGGATGCTCTGAGGCAAGGAGGTGAGAAGGAAGTACATGGCAGGCATTCCTCCACCAGGAAGGTTTCCTGATTCCCCCAGCTGCTAGGATCCCTGAAATTATCTGGCATTGGTTATTTATGGACATACCACACACATAGCATATATATGTATGTATGTATATATATGTATGTATGTATATATATGTATGTATGTACATATACACACATACACATACACTCACATTTATATATATATTTTATAGCTAATATAGATAAAATGTGTATACATACACATTTTATCTATATTAGCTATAAAATATATGTAAGAATACATAGCATAGAAAATATATGAATGTAATATAATATGCAATACATTACAGATATATATTAAATCTAATGTCTATAATAATTTTTATTATATTACATCTATTTAGATACAACATACAATTATATATGCAATATATATATATAATATACACAACATACAGTTATCCCTTCCACATTGTGACTTTCCCCATTATGATTTCAGTATATCGTGGGTGGGCATAAGAAATTAAATAGGAATTTTTAGGGAGTTTTGCAAAAGCTGTAGATATGCAAAGGTCAGTAGATGACACAGAAAAAGTTTAGAAACTCAGAAATGTGTAAAATGTATGTATAGTAGTGTATAACATCAACATGTTATCTTTTAAAGTACTGTAAACACCCCATACCATAAAAGAAAAAGAAAAAATTCAGACTTCTTCTCTGGTATGAGGGGAGGGCCAAAAAATTTTACACGAATGTTCCAGATTGTGGGGGTACTGTGCTCCAAATCCCCGTGATGTGAAAGGGATAATTATTATGTTACAATATGTTACACTGAGATATTATATGATATTATATAATATTATATATTACACATCATATTACAACATATTACTATTTTATGCAGTATGTTATCTATTACATATACAGTATACTATCTATTATCATATATAATGTGTATATGAAATGGTATTAGATAATTGCAGGGATTATATATGTAACTTTGAGTGTATGTATCTATGTACATATACACATTCTGTGTGTATATATCTGTATGTGCATATACATATCTGTATCTATCATGCTCAAATGTGTGCATAAGATCATAGGATCATAGATTAAGAACAGGAAAGGACTTTAGAAGCCACCAAGTCCAGTTTTCTCCTTTTACAGATGAGGAAACTGAGGCCCAGAGAAATACCCAGGTGACTTGCTCAGGACCACGCAGCCAGTATCGTGTTTCCCGAGATAGAATGTAAGCTTCTGGAAGGCAGGGACAGCCTTTTCTCTTTTTGTCTTCGTGGCCTCAGCTCAGAACACGGTGCCTGTCTCCTAGCTGGTGCTTAGTAAATGCTTGACTAGGCACGATAGAGGCTGATTGTCATGCCCGGTGACTGGGGCAATGCCGCAAGGGGAGGATTTTCTCCCAGTGCTCAAACAGAACTTCTGGCTGGTGAAGACTGCCATCTGGAGCCTGCAGTCTCCAGGCCCTCTAGGTCCTCACGTGCGGCCCTTGGACGGAATCCAAGCTCACAGAACAAATCCCCGTAATAAGAGGATTTGTTCTGTGAGACTTGGACTCGATCAAAAGGCCGCCTTGAGGACCTAGAAGGCCATGTGTGGCCTCGAGGGCCTTCCTTCCGGCAGAGGTGGAAGGGACACAGGAGGCCATCCAACCCACTACTCCCCACCCCCCATCCAGATCTGACTTGGGAGACCAAGGCTTGGCCTCTCCATCGTGGCGGCGGAATGTTCTGTTTAGAATCAGCGTTAGGACTTGAATGCTGGTCCCACTCCTTACCTGTGTGACCTCGGGGCAAGGCATTTCATCTCGTGGGACTTAGTTTCTTCTTCTGTAAAATAGGGGAGAGGGTTGGACTAGAGTGCCTCTGAGGTCCATCCTGGCTCTGTCAACGACAATAACAACAACAAACATTTGTTTCACACTTTAGGGTTTGCAAAGCACTTCACAAATTTGAACTCACTTGATCTTGACAGTAGCCCTGGGAAGTAGGTGCTGTTATCTCCATCTTACAGAAGAGGAAACTGAGGCAGACATGGGGGAAGTGACTTACTCTGGGTCACACAGCTAGTAAGTACTGAGGCAGGATTGAAACCCAGTCTTCGTTATTCCAAGTCCAGCGCTCTACCCACTGTGCCTATTTATCTATGACTCTCTAACCTTTTCCACTGAATATACTTCAGTTTGGCCATGTGTCTCCCAGAATGGAAGATGGCCCTCCAGTTGTGGTCTGACCAGAGCATGTTATTCTCTTATTCTCTTATTTATTCTTAGAATAACCTAACCCTAACCCTCTGCAGCCCAAGATTGCATTACCATCAGTCAGCCAATCAATAAACATATATTAGGTGTCAGATATGTTCCAGGAACCATATTCTGTTTCTTAAATTCATTAAACCCCCCTGTAAGGGCAGCAGTGTGGCTCAGTGCTGGGCCTGGAGTCAGGAAGACCTGAATTAAAATCCAGCTTCAGATACATACTAGCTGTATGACCCTGGGCAAATCACTTAGCCCAGTTTGCCTCAGTTTCCTCATCTGTCAAATGAGCTGGAGAAGGACATGGCAAACCACTGTAGTATCTCTGCCGAAAAAACCCCAAATGGGGTCATGAAGTCGAACACGACTGACGGATGACTGAACAATAACAAATGTTTGTAAACCTTGAAGATAGTACGGAAATCTAAGCTGTATAGGATTATCTATGGAAGGAGAAAGTTGACTTGCCCAGGCTGAGACAGCCAGTAAGTATGCAGGGAGAGGTTTAAACCTAGGTCTCTTGATTCTAAGCCCACAGATGGTGAGGGGTGGGGGACTGAGTGTGAAGAAGGCATTCTGCTGTTAATGGGAGGCCTGCCCCATGCTAACCCTTAATTTTTTTTCTCTCTTTTTACTAGTGGTCGCTGCTTTGTTTTGGAATGTCTTAACACAGATGGCTCTGTGAGGATGACCATGGCCACGAGGGTAGAGGTCAGCCCACTAGCATCTCTAGCACCTGTTCCCAACTTAAATGAGATCGCTGAGGAAGACAAACTGCAGACGACCTGTTATCACCTTGTCGGCAAAGCCCCGGCCTCTCCTCCGGCGATGGTGTTGGCAGGGCCGCGGAATCTTGGGACTCCGTCGAGAGCACTCCCTGTGCCCCGGCTTTCCCCCAAACCGTTTTCTAAGGAGAACCCTTTGGATATGTTTGCAAATGTGAAATCTCCCATCACATCTGTCAAGCCCGGCATTTCAATAACCAGGCCGCTCACATCTAACAAGCTTGAGGACTCATCCACCACTAAGGCCTCGGATGAAAACATGCCTTCCTTGGTTGAACCAAAAATGGATGAGGGGGGAGGCATGAGCTCAAATGTAATAAAGCCCTGTAATAAAGCCCTGCCCCAGACGACGCACAGCCAAAACACCATCATTCTGTTTGAAACGGCTGGCCCTCCCAAGGCCAAGGCAGACCCCACCTCTGGAAAGTGGACAGGTGAGGAGCAAAGCACAGACAGTGTGACCCAGCTTCAAGGACAGCTACCCAGCTCCAAGACTGAGACTTTGGTCAAACCTGCATTACCACCTCGGAAACCTGTGGGGGCCCAACAGAGGCAGGTGTCTTTGTGTTCTGACGAAAGGCTGGCTCTGTTGAAATCTTGGGAGAAGGGGGAGGAAGAGGAGCCCCTGGCATCCCCTGGCATCAAGAATGAAGGGGATCACCCATCCTTAGAGGCCCGGCCGAGGGGCAAGCGGAGGCCTGTCTCAGCCATCTTCATCGAGTCTCTCCAACATCCAAAGCCCAGCCCTCTAGAAACCCCTGCAGGGAAGGTGCCCCCTCCTCCTCCGGAGAAGTCGTGGGTCCGGAAGCCTCGGCCCTTGTCTGTGGATCTCACGGCCAGGTTTGAAAATAAGGACGTCCTGTCCAAGAAGGCGGGCAGTCCCGTGGAGGCGAGCAAGGAGAAAGGGCTGGGTATGGGTTCCAGTGACAGAGGGAATGGAGAAGAAAGGTCAGAGCCATTGGACAGGGCCACGCCCTTGAAGCCTACCTTGAGATTAAAGGAGCAGGCTTTGGATGTCCCAGATTTGAAAAACAAAGTTAAGGAACAGAATCAGAAAATTGTCTTTAAGTCGATGGAGGCCTGTTCCCCTGAAACATCTACGGACCTACCTGAGGCCTCGGTCAGAAAAGGGTGGAACTCCCTGGAAGAAAAGCCCAAACAGGAGAGGGACCCAGATCACAAGGAGGCTGAAGGACCAGTTTCTTTGCTTAGAGCAGAAAAAAGTCCAGGACTTGCAGAGGGAAAAAACCGAGCAGCTGAAGGGAATGGGAGGGTGACCGAAAGGGCCAGCCCTGGAGGGGGAGAGTGGGTCTCCAGGGGGAGCGTCAAGAAGCGTGTCAGTCTGTTTGGCTCAGAAAGCTTCTCATCTCAGTCGAGCACTGAGGCTCCCGCTGCAGCTCCTGAGAAGGAGAAAGGCAGTGTGAAAGTCCAGGACCGAATCAAAGAGTGGATGGTGGAGAGCCCCGAGGCACCCCAGGAGAGCAGAAGGAAGTCCTTCCAGTCGAGGCCGCTGTCTGCCGACTTGACCAAAATGTAAGTATAGACAGCCTTTCTTTCAGGAATCTCACAGGCTTAGTGGATAAAGCACTGGCCTTGGAGTCAGGAAGAGCTGAGTTCAAATCCTGCCTCAGAAACTTACTTAGTATATAACTCTGGGCAAATCACTTGGCTTCTCTTTGCCTCAGTTTCCTTTTCTGTAAAATGAAGGGGTGAGGGGTGAACTCAATATTCTCTGACATCCCTGCCAGTACAAGATGACTCTGAAACTCCTGCCTTCCTATCTGCCATCCTTTTCTCCTGAGTACTTACTCTGTGTCAAATCCCATTTGAGGATACAGAGATAAATAAGATAGGATCCCTTCCGTCACAGAGTTTACACTTTAGTATCTGAGGTTCCTTCCAGCTCTTGAGCTTTGAGTCTATGATTATCTAGGCCTCAGTTTTCTCATCTGTAAAGTGGGCACTGTAATACCTTCCCTAATATTTTACCTACCTAGAGGAAATTCAGTAGGGGACAGAGGCAAGCAAGACAGGGTATTGCAGTGCTAAATTTCATGTGTACCTTTTTTAAAAAGCTGTATGTGTGAGAGAATAATAGTTTCATATGCTAAATAAATGAATGAATGAATGAATAAATGAATAAATAAATAAAATGAAATGAAATAAATAAATAAGGATGAGAACTGGGTCTCTGACTTCATTGGCATTAGGAAGACTAAGGTAAGGAAATGCCTCCCACTATTGATTGCCATCTTCTCCAAGTCATACTGAATTGCCCAGAGCTCTGAGGGGTCAAGGGACTTACCCAGGGTCACACATAGGCCAGTGTGGGTCAGAAGCAGGATTTGAACACAAATCTTCTTGGCTTCAAGGCCAGCTCTTTATCTACTATGCCATGCTGCCTCTCATAAAAAGAAATAATAAGTAAATAACTAAAGTACCTTTGTCCTGTCTCACTTATGAGGCCCATGTGCTATCCATGGATGGCTGGGGGTGTGGCCATGGGGGGAGGGGAACAGAACATGTGCACAAAGAAACGTAATGAGGAGGTGAAATGGAATGGAAGCCGATCGATCCACAAGCATTTATTTAGCACTTACTGTGTGCCAGGCACTGTGTTAGGCTGTCAGGGTAGGAAGACAAAAAAACTAGAAATAGTTCCTGCTCTGTCCTCAAAGAGTTCTCCTCTGCTCCAAAGAAGTACATGCAGCATTCCCTTCAACAGACATTTATTCAGTCAGTCAATCAATCAGTGACTTATTCAATACCTCCTATGTGCTAGGCGCTGAGCTGAACAAAAACAAAGATGAAACAGGGCCTGCTTCTAGCTTACGTTCTCTTAGGGGAGGCAACATGTTTGCATTTGAATATACGCAACATAAATACATAGATACGAGATAATTGGTGGGGAGCAGTGAGTCACCCCCGAATTATACAACTAGTTAATTAGTAGCAGAACCAGGACTAGAGACCGGGTGTGCTTGAGCCCCTATCCGTGGCTCTTTCTATTCTAAAAGAGGCATCAGGCGGTGCAGTGGAGAGAGTGCTGGGCCTGGGGTCGGGAAGACTTAAGTTCATATTCAGCCTCAGACACTCATAGCTTATGTGACTCTGGGCAAGTTACTTAAAAAAACAAAAAACTCTGCTTGCCTCAGTTTCCTCATCTGTAAAATGGGGATAATAATAGCCCCTAGCCTCTCAGGGTAGTTGTGAAGCTCAAATGAGATAATAATTATAAATCGCTTTGTAAGCCTTAACGCGCTATATATTATATATTAAAGTGCTATATATAAAGTGCTAACTGTTATTATTAGGGCAGCGAGGTGGCACAGTGGATTGAGTGCTGGGCCTGGAGTCAGGAAGACTCCTTTTCCTGAGTTCAAATCTGGCCTTAGACACTTCCTAGCTGTGTGATTCTGGGCAAATTACTTCTTCCTCTTTGCCTCAGTTTCCTCATCTGTAAAATGAGCTGGAGAAGTAAATGGCAAACCACTCCAGTATCTCTGCCAAGAAAACACCAAATGGGGTCAAGAAGAGTCAGACATGATTGAAAACAACAACTATTATTATTAGCTATATATTATTACATTATATTATTTATCATCATGATTATTTTAGACTACACCCCCAAATTGAGGAATTGAATTGACCCCATCCAGATGAGTGTGGTCATCCCTAATCATCTGTTTGTGGTTCTGTCAGCAGGTGAACTCACTGACCTTTAGAGCCAGAAGAGACCTCAGAGGTCATCTGGTCTGAGGCCCTGAAAGGGGCAGAGATGTTCTTTAGGTCACACAGTGAGTGATTAGTAGTTATTGGTGGCAAAAGTAATTATACCCTTTTGTGGCGTTTTTATTTCCTTCCAAAATACCGTGACAGAGATAATATCCACATGTAGCCTTGAGGCTTCCCTCAAAGCTGGAAGGACAGGGATGATGGTGCCCATTTTACAGATGAGGAAATTGAGACTTCACAGGCAGATGCTCACCCAGTGAGTTAGTGACAGACTGGAAGCTGGGCCTCCTGGCTCCTGGTCCAGAGGCTTTTTGCAGCCAGATCCTGACTGGTGTAAAGCAGGATTGACATTGTGATAGCCCAGACTTTCTCTGTCAGGTTCATGCCAGGAGGAGCTAAGGAAGGGAGAGTTTAGCCTGCTGTTTGTGTGCTGTTCATATTGGGTTAAATGCCGTGGATTCTCCTACCCGGGCATACGGCCCCTTCACTTGCCACCTCTGAGATTAACCCCAGTTTCTACACTAGGTTCACAAGGCCAGCTTTGGAGAGTGAATCAAGACCCGATAAGGGCCCGGCACCGAGCGGTGAGCTTCCTCAAGAAAGTGTTCTCCAGGAAAAGGTAAGGGCCCCTCTGGTTTCCGTTTCTCTGGACTTGTCCTGTGCGCCTTCAAATATCACCATGCCTTGATGACCTTTCCATTCATTTGCTGAGAATCAGGAGCCCTGGCTAGGCCCAGATGCTCCACTGTTGTGCGACCTTGGGGGCCCTGCTTCCCCCTCCCTGGTCCTTAGTTTCAACACCTGTAAAAGGAGGTCGTTACACTGGCCGAGGCCTAAGCTCCCTTCTAGTTCTGTGTCCTAAGGCCTTTTTCCAGCTCTTCTTTTCCAAGGTATTAGATCCCATGAGTAATTAATTTTAAGGTCTTCAACATTTATGACACCCTTTTTTTTTTTCTCCCTCTCTTTTGGGAATGGACTTGGGATTCTCCTGGTGTAGGGACCTCCCAGTAAGGAAAGTCCCTCTTCAGTGTAGAGTGACGCCTCCTCTGGAACATCATAGTCAGAGAGTTCTGTGGGACGCTAAGTGGTCCAATGACTTGTCTTGGGTCACAGAAGCATTAGGTGTCAAGGGGGGACCTGAATCAGGCCTTCCTGACTCAAGAGCCGGCATCTCTAACCACTGCCCTATGGCTACCACTTTGCTGTTCTGGGATTCTGTAATGTGCATAGAAAGGCTGAGTAGCAGCTTGGATAGAGGCCCAGGCTTGGAGTTAGGAATACTGGGGTTCATGTCCCCTTCTTCTGATGCACCCGAATGGTGTGATGCTGGGCATAAAGTCATGGGCATGTCTGGGATTGTCTTTCCGCTAAAATGTGAGCCCCTCAAAGGTGGGGACTTTTGTTTTTGCCTTTTTTTTTTATCTGTAACGTGTGTATGTATGTGTGTGTGTATTTATATATATATATATATATATATATACACACACACACATATACACATACATAATGTGTGTGTGTGTGTGTGTGTGTATACATTAAGTGTATATGTTGTTGTTCTTGTTACCTTTTGGGTTTTCTTGGCAGAGGTACTGGAGCGGTTTTGCCATTTCCTTCTCCAGCTAATTTTACAGATGAGGAAATTGAGGCAAACAGGGTGAAGTGACTTGCCCAGGGTCACACAGCTAGTAAGTGGCTGAGTTCAGATTTGAACTCAGGAAGATGACTCTTCCTGACTCCAGGCCTGGTGCTCTGTGCGCTAGCTGCCCCGATATATGTAGTAGACACTTAATAAGTGCTTGATGACAGAGAGCTCTTGCTACCCCTAGGGAACTTTCTTAAACTGAAGATGAGTTTCCACACTGGGAATTTCCCTTCTCCTTTAAAAATTTTTACATAAAAATATATAGCACGGAGATTCTGCAGCTTTTCCCAGGTTTACAGCCAGAGACAGGGGCGAGGGACAGGTCTTGAACCCAGATCATCTGTATGGTAAGGCCAGCTCTCCATTCTAACATACCAGCTGGCCTGTTATCCAGTCACTTAAACCTTTTAATGTCCAGGCACATCTTTGAGATTATAAATCATTAAGCAGCTACTTGGAATCTGGGGCAGCTAGGTGGTACAGTGAGTAGGACACTGGACCTATGGTCAGGAAGACTCATCTCCCTTACTTCAAATGTGGGCTCAGCTGTGTGACCATGGGCAAGTCACTTCACCTTGTTTGCCTCAGTTTTCTCATCTGTAAAATGAGCTACAGAAGGAAATGGCAAATCACTCCAGTATCTCTGCCAAGAAAACCCCCAAATGGGGTCATGAAGAGTCAGACATGACTGAAAAATGACTGCGTGACAGCAGCTTGCAATCTGGTTTGACAGAGGGAGAGTGTCCAGAACCAGATTAAAATTTCACCAAAAGAGGCCAATCATTCATAGCTAGTATTCCATTTCAAAACAAAATTGCTGTAAAGTCCAGGGATCCTTATGTGTGGACTAGCGGCCCCATTTCTATTTGAGGTCAGCCCCGCTGCCCCACATGAATGATATCATGGGGTCCTCCTCCCTGCCTAGAAAAGAAAAGAAAAATGGACACAATTCAGGAGCCTAAGGTTCTCCCTGCTCCAGGAAGCCCTACTTTTCTCTCAGTGATGGTGTGTAGTCTGATGGCCAGCCTTGTTAGAGAAGGTCAGAGTCTCATTGGCAGAAGCTTGGGCTCCTGCTTCTCATGAAGAGTGGGGTCTGCCAGGGAGGTGGCAGAGCTGGCATATTCTTCGGGGTTGGGGCCAGCATGGAGGACCCTACAGTTGATATCCACCAGTAGTAGAGTCCCTCTAGACCAGAATCTTCCCGTGGGCAGGGCCTGCTTCGTTTTCTGCCTTCTGTATGCCCAGAGTCTAGCCTGGAGTCTGACCCAGAGTAAGGGCTTGGTTTCTGCTTCTTGAAATAGCACTGGGGATAGGGCCTTCGAGATTATCAGCTTGCCTCTGCAACTTGGGATCCTTCCCTGATTTCTGGGCTTTTCTGCTGGGCTCCACAGTATCTTTGGACATCCCACCAGGCATAATGTTTTCTTTAGAGCCCTTTTCTAAAAGAAACTGTTGGCAAGACCACCTTGTGGCCAACTTCTTCTTCAGAGGTTTCAATGTCATAATGGGTCTTTGTTGCAGACTGAACCCCCACCTGTAAAAAAAAAAAAGCAACCGCACAGAAAAAGATGAACAGACCATGATATGCCATCCTTTTACCTTTTCTGAATTAGTTTGGTCATTTTGTAAATTTTCTGCTCTGTCGCTTTGAATAGTTATCAGACTTAAAGTACATCATAGAGAGATCTGAATGTACCCCAAATTGTATTCTATTTAAGAAAGCCCTCACTTTAATACAAAGAGACTTCATCTACCTGCTCATTTTAAGCCATTTAAATTAGCCCCACAAGCCTGTTTTATTTTTTGAGTTCTTTCTTCCTTCTTTTTTTCCTCGCAGAAAAGAGAAGGGCACGTTTTTCTCAGAACTGATTTGAATGGAGCATCTGCTGGGAGAAACCAGTGGAAACCTGTGAAGCCGTGTGAGAAAACCAGACAATTTGAACGGAAATTGAGCTCCGGCAATGAGACAGACAGCTCTCTCTTCCCAAAAGAGGATTCCACCGTGGCGCCCCGTCAGCTTGAAGCCCAGTCCCCACCCACCATGGCTGAAGACGATGGGGACTTTCAGACTGTCTGGGCAACTGTGTTTCAATCCAACGTGATGAGATACCCCATGGCTGACTGTCCCTTCCTGACATCCGCCAGTGACTCAGCCAGAAAATTCTGCGAGTCACCTGGCCTAGGAGCAGAGAAAACATCTTGGATAGGGAAGGTGAATGTCAGAACTGAGAATTCAAAATGGGCTGAGAAATTCAGTGCAGAGAAACACTGGAGTAGTGTCCTGCTGGATGAAGAGAAAAGCCCAATTAATGCCGCCCTCTTGGAAAAACGTCCTGGGGGTGAGAGATGGAATGTCTCCTCTGCAAAGCCAACGGGAAATAGTCTCTCTCATCAAGGAATTGAGCCAAGATATGACATTGTACATATGACTGGCGAAAGGATCCTTAGTGAGGCTGTGGTGACTGCCCCCGAGGAGCTGGCGATGATGCTTAGAACTAACAAGCAGTGGTCTTCTCAGAAGCAGGGCTCTCGGAGTGAAGGTCTGAACATGAAGCAGCAGGCTAGGCCAGACATGAAAACGGGGCCCTCCCAAGTCTCTAGTCTGGTTGCAGAAGCCCGAGAAAGGCTGGAAACAGCTACCCCTAAGCCTGAATTTCACGAACCCAAGGGTGTGTTGGGTGGGAGCTCGCTGCCGCCCAAGAAAATAGTGGAGAAGCCCTATTTGGTAAACCAGGACAAGGCTCTTGGGATCTCAGGCGATGAAAAGCCTTCTAGGTTGTCCTCCCGGCAGATTGCCAGGGAAAAGGAAAGTCCGAGCCATGTTTTTGAGACCGTCGTGGTCAGAGCAGCCCGTGTAGATCCCTATAATGTACATCCAGGGGTGAGTTCAGTGGAAATGAACAGGCTTGGCTCTCAAAGTCCAGTGGAAGGAAGGAGCCAGTTTCATGATTATTTAGATAACTCACATCCCAGGGCCATGGCTAAAGAAGAATCCTTTGACTTGAGATCAAGAAAACACTTAGGTTCAAGGTCCATGAGAAAAGAACCTCTGGTAATGGGTGAAGAAAGGGAATGGAACCAGTCCCCGACTCTGGAGCCAGAAGCCAAAGTCAGGAAGTCGGGTGGCATGGGAGTTGTAGAAAGATGGCGCCGGAGGACACTGCCTCATGATGTGAAATTTGACGAATTCATCTCATTTGCCCCAGAGCCAGCCAAAAGGCTTGGGAGACGAGACTCTGTATCCTCTAGTGACACCCACTTCAAAAAGAGTTGGCAGACCCCAGACAGGCCAGATTCAAAGGAGTCAAGTCGGAGTATTCCGCAGGATGCCAAGGAGACAGTCCCCAAGCCACAGCCACCTCGGGAGCCCAGGGAGACCTATTTTGCTGTGACATATCAGATCTCTGCAGATAAAAGAGAATATAATGTGGACAATTCTGTTTATGAAAACAGGAAGGTCTCTTCACCAAACAAAGATGAGCCAGTCAGTGTCCATAATTCTAGAAAACTCAGCTTTTTGTCTGAATCATCCCCAAACTCTAGGTTAGCTCCTTCATACCCCAGAGACCCATCAGAAAACTTTGATCAGAAAAATTGGCAGGCCAAAGAGAGGGAAGAGGAAAACCTCAGTTTTTGTAAGAGCCCAAGGCCCAGTGACCAGCCAGTGCTGCCTGGGGAGAGAAGGACGAGGCATACTGATGGCAGAGTGATAGATGTAGATGCTTCGTTGGTTAACCAAAGGTTGGGAAATGTCAGCATCCCCAGTGATCCCAAAGAGGATGGAGGCAAGAGGTCTTCCAGAGCTTCTGAACGTTTTAGATATTCATCAAAGAACAGTGACCTCCCAACAAGAAGGAAGCAGGGGGATGCCCATGAATCACTCAGGGCCAAAGCTGAGGATGGTTACAGGTCGAGTATCCTGGACATAGATGCCCTCATGGCTGAATACAAAGAAGAATCCATAAAAGTCAGTGAGCCTAGGGACCAGAAGGACGAGAGAGTACCTGCTAGCCATGGCGGGTTTCAGGGGGAGAGGCCAGGCACCAGGAGCTCTGCAGATCACCTTTCCCAGAGGTATGACTGGAGGGGTCAGAAGGCGCCCCAGGATCATATGGGTTTCAGGAAGTCGGTGAATCTCCCTGGGCCACAAGGCCACAGGCTGAGGAATCCAGCTCCATGATGTACTCTGGACCTGAAATAAGCAAGGAGAAGACTGAGTCCCCCACTCATGAACCGAGTAGACGGAAAGCTCTCAGCACCAAATTCACCCCTCTTCTCTGGGGCACGCCCCAGTCTGAGCTTTCTGAACAATACTCGGATTCACCTTCTGATGCCGGGAAGAAAATACCAGCTGAGGATGAGAAAAAAGATGTGGCGTCTGCTAACTGGCCGCAAAACACTAAATGCTGGAGTTACAGAGCTGAGGCAAACACTCCTTTACTTGATATTAAAAACATGGAGGTAAACTTGCCTCCCAAGACTTCCCCTGTTGCTCAAGATGCCACCTTATTTGAGGATGAAGTTTGGGCTCCCCGAAACTCTGTGGAGAAAAGGGAGAAAGTGAGCTCTTTCCATGGGAGAACTAAAGTCAGGAGGGGAGACTATGATTCGGACTTTGGAAATATCAAGCGTACTTATTCAGAAAAGACAGCCCCTGCTGCAGTCCGAGAGAATCTGTCCCTCATGCAGGAGGCCCGAGAAAGAAGAAGAGAATCATTAAAAGGCCAGAAGAGTTTTGAGAGCATGATGGTCTACAGGGAATTCCCACCCTGGGAAACGAAAGCCAGTGAGGATAATAAGGTATTTATTTACTGAAATTTACTTCTGTTCAGCACACCTCCCGTATTCCCAGCCCCAGGTTAGGAGACCAAAAAGAAAAAGTACGAATGTATGCTTAATGAGAAATCGCAAGGCCAAATCATATGGTCAAAGATAAGTGGAAAGAGCCCCCCGTTTGCAGGCAGCCGCTGTAGTGGTCTGCTCCTGGCTTCCTTTCCTCCCCTATAAAAGGATAAAGTTGGGCCAGGTGGTTTCTAGGGGTCCCGCTGGGGCTTCAGCGTTCTGTGCTCTGTGACCTGCGAGATACTTCTCCTCCCTGATTCCGTGACTCTTGAGTGAGACCATTATGCCTGGGCCCATTTGGGTTCATTTTCTTTCCTCCTCTCAACTTTCCAGTTTCTCTCCATTCTTTCCAGTTACTTGTCCTCATGAACATGGAGCCATGTTCAGCTCTTCCTTCTCACTCACTTCCATTGGGGTACCATGTAAGAAAGCACTGGGTTTCTAGTCAGAGGACTTAGCGCTCTCATTTTTTACTGCCTGTGTTACTTTGGGCACAAATGTTTTCCTGGGCCTCAGTTTCCTCATCTGTGAAATGTTGGGGTTTGGATGAGGGGGACTTGAAGGTCCCTTCCAACACTAAATCTGTGATCCTAGGTGTCTACCCTGGTCAGTAAAAATTCAGTTCATGGGGGCAGCTAGGTGGTGCAGTGGATAAGAACACTGGCCCTGAAGTCAGGAGTACCTGAGTTCAAATCCAGCCTCAGACACATAACTCTCACTAGCTATGTGACTCTGGGCAAGTCACTTAACCCCAATTGCCTCACTAAAAAAAAAAATTCAATTCATGGAGGGAGACAAACATTTATGAAGGTGCTAGGCACCTCTTTGTAAGTGATATCTCATTTGATTTTTACAACAGTCCTGAGAGGTGGGTGCTATTATCACATTTACAAGTGGGGAAACTAAGGCAGACAGAAATGAAGTGACCAGGGTCTGGCTCAGAGGCCTATTTACTGGGCCACCCTAGCTTATAAGGCCTAAGTCCAGGTGGCACATTTTAATTCAACAAGACTCTTATTAAGTACCTACTGTGTGTTAGGCAGGTATAGTGTAATAAACCAGAGGGCTGGTTTTAGAATCGGGGGAGGCCCAGATTCAAGTCCTACCCAATATACTTAGCACCCTCTCGATGCCCTAGACAGCTCACTAAGACTAAATTACCAAAAGGCTGCCAGTGTGCCTTGATGAAGGGGACTTCTGTGCTCAGGGTTCCCTACCCTGATGAGAGCATTGGTTGGAACCAAAAAATGCGTGAAACATTTGTCTCCGCCCTCAAGCAGTTTATATCCTCCTGGGGAACTACACCCTAAGTGAGGCGTGTGAGACAGTGGGAAGAATTTGGGTTCAAACGCCATCTCCGATACTTCCTTCTAGTGTAGACCAGCGTGGCCGGAGAACACAGCAATAGGCCGTGTGTGCCCCCCCCATGATTCCTGTCCTCTCTGCCTACAGGATTGCTATTCTGGGAGCAGTGGGGAGAGGGCTTCTGGGAGAACGCCAATGGAAATGTCACATTTAAGCCTTCCCCAGACTGGAGCAGCAGCGCTGCTGCTGAGGACGGCCCGGGAGAATGGCAGCGTTGTAGCAGAGGGTGCCCTGGCTGCAGGCCCGGAGAGCCGCTCTGCCCTCCGGCTCTGGGCCCCATTCACGGGCGCTGGAGTTTCTGCTCCTGCCTCCCTGGCCCCAGACTTGGGTTTTCAGCAGGAAGGCTGTTCCCTTCTGTTTATCTGAGAAGCCCTTAGACCGCCCCGAGCTGACCCTTCTCACACAGGGCATGTTCTGTGCTCCTGGGCCCAAGAATCAGGTCTAGAGTCATTTGGCAGGAGGTTGGGGTGCTTCAGTGACACCTGATTTAATCAGCTACTGCTGTCCTTTATCTCTCCAAAAACACAAATGCCAAATCACTTTGATTAAAATGTTTAATTTCAAAAGTACATGAAGATTTTTATCAAAAATATTTTTAAGAAAATAAAAATTTATTTAAAATAACAAACTTTAATTTGAAAAATTGTTTAAAAAATAAAATAAGATGGTATTTTAAAATAATTTTTATTTAAAAACAAAATAAATTTGTATTAAAAATAAGTTTTTCTTTAAAAATAGTTTTGTTAAAAGTAATTTTTATTTAAAAATAACAAATTATAAATTAAAAAATAAAATAAAAATTTTTATTGAATGAAATAAGATTTTTATTTAAAAATTTTTAATTAACAAAAATTTAAAACAAAAAATAAAAACTAAACAAATATTTAATTTAAAATCATATTTTATTAAAAATATAATATTTAAAACAATAATTTTAAAAATCTAAATAAAATGATATTTTTATTTGACATTTTTAAAACAAATTTTAATCATTGTCTTTTGTTTTTTTTAACATCCTGGTCATTTCCAGAGATGCCCCCCCCCCCCCCCCGTCCAATGAATTTTTCTTTATAACAAAGAAAATCAGTTAAGAAAAGCTAATGGACCATGAAGTGTGTGTGTGTGTGTGTGTGTGTGTGTCTCAGTGGGTCTCTTTATCGCTTGCTTCTGCCCCCTTCCTTTCCTTTCTTTCACCTTCCTCATCCTTGTCATTTCTCGAGAGCTGGAAAGCCCAGACAACCCATTTATTCCAGAACGCTTGAACCTCAGTTTCCCCATCTGTAAAATGGAGGGGATTGGACTCAGTGCTCTCAAATAGCTCTAAGCCTCTTTTCCTAGATATGATTCTATGACTGCTTCCAAACACCTGTTCACATTGCTAGTTCAGTCGTGTTTTTCAGTTGTGCCCAACTCTTTACGTCCTTCCTTTGGGGTTTTCTTGGCAGAGATGCTGGAGTGGTTTGCCATTTCCTTCTGAAGCTCATTTTACACATGAGGAAACTGAGGCAAACAGGGCTATGTGACTTGCCCAGGATCATACTGCTAGGAAGTGTCTGAGGCTGGATTTGAACTCAGGTCTCCCTGACTCTATCCACTATGCCCCCAGGCTGCCCCACTTGTTCACATGTGCCTGAGTAAATACGGGAGAGTAGCTAGCAAGTAATGGGACCCTTAACTCTGAAAAGCCTCATCCTTTTTTTGTCAGAGGATACTGCTTTGGAATCCATCTCCCAAGGCACAACTACCATATGTTCCTTAACCCGAGAGTTTTGCTGACGAGTCCGAGGTCACACGGCCAGTCTGGGTCAGAGGTGAGACGCAGAGCCAGGTTTTCCAGATGCCTAGGCTAGCTGTCTACCCTCTGCACCACACTGCCTGTCACGAAGCCCTCTAGCTGATGGTAACAGCAGGGTCACTTCTTTTCCTGTAAAAATAGAATCACAGGATTTCGAGACCTTAGTGTCCAGTGCTCTCCTTTTACAAAGGGAAGGAGCTGAGGCTCTGGGAGGGTGAGGTGACTCCCCCCAAGCCTGGAATGCTCTCCTTCCTCACCTCTGTCTCCTGGCTTCCTTCAAGTCCCTGTGAAAAAGCCATCTTCTACAGGAAGCCTTTCCCAGCTGCCCTCTATGGTCAGTTGTGCCTTCCCTCTATGGATTATCTCCATTGTATTCTGTCTTGGTCTCATTTGTATGTATTTCTTTACTTGTTGTCTGCCCCCCTAAAATTGTGAGCTTTTGGAGGGCAGTCTTTCACTTTTCTTTGTAGCCCCAGAGCTTAGCACAATGCCTGGCCCATAGTAGGTGCTTAATAAAATGCTTGTTGACTTATTTGTGTCCCCAGCCTGGCTCATAGTAGGTGTTTAATAAATTCTTGTTGACTTATTTGTAGCCCCAGAGCTTGGCCGAATGCCTGCCTGACTCTTGGTAAATGCATAGTAATTGTTTATTGGCTGACACAGCTCACCGGTAACCAAGCCAGGATTTGTACTCAGGTCCTCATTACATCATACTCTGCTGCCTCAGTCACTCTTCCTTTGTGTCTGCTGTGCCTAGCCCGGTTGTGGGTGGTATGGTGGCTGCAGGAGATAGCTGACCTAGAGCTCTGTCCTCAAGGAGCTTACCCTCTAATTGGGGAATTGAGGTTCACACAGCAATGGACCCCTTAGGCAATAGCTGTGTCCCATTGGCTGTAAAGGCAGCTGGATCATTGGTGTTTTGTGTTTGATTAATTGCACTGAATTGACCGATACCCATTGACTATTTAACTAGGAATTCCTGTAGCCTGTATGCATGTTGTCCTAATGAATGCCCCCCCCCAAAAAAAATCCAAATGAAACCTAAAAAAAAGTCCCTCTGTTCCATAATAATAGTTCTCATTTGTTAGCTTAGCACAGTGCCTGGCACACAGTAGGTACTTGATAACTGTTTGCTGATTGATTGATGCACTGGAAGGTTTACAAGGTATTTTTCTCACAAAGACCCTGTGAGGCTAGGTATTTCAAGAATTATTGCCCTCTATTGGCAGAAGAAGAAACTGAGGTTCTGACAGGTACAGTGACCTACCCAAAGTCACACAGCGAGTAAGTGTCAAAACTAGGATTTGAACCCAAGTCTCTTGACTCAGAAGTCCATCACACTTTTCATCACATCAATCTTCGTTCTCTCTTTTGTTACTTAGGTGCCGCATGACACCGAAAAAGAGAGGGTCAGAGCCGATAACAATAAATCCCCCCTGCGAGGTTTTACTCCTATGCCTGTCCCCAGGAGAAGTCATAGTTTCTGCAAAGACAGGAAGATTGAGCCTTTCATGGTAAGTTTTTGTCTGCCTAGAACCAGCTGTTCTGCCCCTGTGTTTCCTCTGCAGGGTGATAGGAATGCTGGTGCAGGAACATTTAATTACGATGATATGGTTGTGAATTGTACTTCCCTCCGTTCTTGGGGTGATCTTTTGGGCCTGTGTGGGCGTGGTTGCGTTCTGTTTTTGTTTTTGTTTTGCATTGATGTGAAGTGAAAGGAGTGGAGGCGTGCTCTGGGCTTCACGTCGTGTGCCTTGATGTCCCATTGCAGAAGTAAGCCGCCCTTCTACTGGCTCACTTTTTTTGTTTTTAACTTGGGAGCGATGAGTCAAAGTAAGTCAATGAAATAGGAAAATCCAAGACTGAATGAAACTTTATGGGTCGTTGGACAGCTCCATATTTAATTTTGTGTTCTTTCTGGTGGCTAGATTTATCTGTACTGTGGTGTTTTTTTTTTTACGTACATGGGTATTATGTTTTCTAAAGGTCTTTCATGAATCTGTTGAATGAGGGTTTCCGTACTGATGTTATCATGGTTGTTGGACAGTACTGGCATTCTTGGCATATAGGGCCTCCCTGATCATGAATCATTTTGTCTTGGTCTGTGCTGTTCTCCTGCATTTTCTGGTGCTTTATTTAATGTGTTTATGTTGATCTTCGAACGCCGTCAGCCCACAGTTGGTTTCCCGGGTTGAGTACGCTTTAGGCCGTCCCGATGGTTTTCTTTTCCCTTTTGGAAAAGTGGTTATTGTCACGAGTTGTGTGTGTCAGGTAGGTACCTTCTGATGGAGGCTGGCATTGCAGACTGTACGTACGGTGAACCTGCATCTTCTGTTGGGGTGTCCTCCGCAGCATGGCATCATGGATGGTGGAATGGAAGCCGGGAGAAGTAAGCTTCCTGAGGACCATTTAGTGTTTGTCATTGTATCTCCCACACTTAGCCCAATGTCTGGTATATAGTAGGGGCTTAATAGATGCTCGATTGGTTTTTGTTTGCTTATATGAGTGTGTGTTTGTATACTTTATGGAACATCAGCTCCCTGAGGACAGGGACTGTTGAAAAGTGTTTGTATCTTTGTCTCCTAGCCTGACAGTGCCTGGCAAACAGTAGGCACTTAATAAATGCTTGATTGTTTTATATTTGCTTATACAGGTATGTGTTGGTATACGTCATAGAACGGAAGCTCCCTGAGGACAGGGACTGTTTAGTGTTTGCATCCTCATCTCCCAGCACAGTGCCTGGAAAACAGTAGGCACTTAATAAATGTTTGTTGATTTGTATTTGCTTATATTGGTATAGGTTGGTATACTTCATGGAATGTAAGCTTGTTGACTGGTTAATTGACAAAGAGGACCGAGTTTGGCTGGACCTGACCCTCGATTTTTTTTTAGAGCTTGAGTCTATGTTGGAAGCCCGCCTGAATGGTGCTCCTTGATGGTCCTTTTTTCTCCAGAAATCATCTTAGGATTCTTGGGTTTTCCAGGCAGAGCTTTATGAAGCTAACTAGTAAGTCCCAGCCCAGCTCTGCTCCTGACGTGCGTCTAGGCTGTCTCGTGAGGCCCAGAGTCATGAAAATCCAGCCCCAAAAGCCAGTTAAAGCCTACTCGTTATTAGCAGAAGTCTGGTGTACAGAACAACTAGATACATAAGTTGCAAGGGAATGTAGAGATTGTCTCATCCAACCCATTTTACAGAAGAGGAAACTGAGGCCCAAAGAGGTGAAGTGAGACATTCTCACAGGTCAGACCTCGGCACTCCCTCCCTTTCTCAGGAAGCTTCAGTGACTCCCAGTTACCTCTCTAACCTGGGGGCCATAGACCCTAATTTCCTTTATATTCATAAGTATTTTATTTTATGCATTTGGAAACATTCTTCTGAAAAGTGGGCTATAGGCTTCATCAGAGTGCGAAAGGCGGCTGCGACTCACGACTCACACGCAGAGGATGCATAACTCCTGTTCTAGGTTAAAAAACAAGTGTTTCTGGGGGGCATTTAGAGACTGTCACTTTGAACTCTCTTGCCGATCCCTTACTCTGGTCAGACCCCATCTGGAATATTGTGGTCCATCTTGGGTGCCACATTTTAGGGAACTGCCGAGATGGACCCCAAAAGGACTGGGCCTGGCCCATCAATAACCATGTATTAAGGTCCTACTATGTGCCAGCTGCTGGGAATTCCAAAGATCAAAATGAAACCATTCCCACCCTCAAGGAGCTTACATTCTCTTGGGAGAAGAAACACCACACACATTCTGCAATGGTGGCACAGTCCAGTAGATTGTGAGCTCTTGGAGGGCAGGGACTGCCTCGTTTTTATCTTTGTATGTGTCTTGCACAGTGCCTGGCACACAGCGGGTGTTTAATCAGTGCTTATTGGATTAGATTGAATTAGAAGGAAGAGCTGGGCATCCTGGATTGGAAGGGACTTATTAGCTCTATTCAGATGGTTAAAAGACTAATTGTGGAACCTAGTGTAGACATTCTGCCTAGCCTCAGAGGGCAGAACCAGAGATGAAGGGGAAGCAGGGTTGAGGTCAACAGAAGAATGCATTTTCTAACAATGAGGGCTGTTAAAACCCTGGAGTGAGCTGCCCCTTGGAGCTAGCATTTCCCCCAGCACTGGAGGTCTTCATGAGAAGGCTGGGTGATCACTACTCAGGAATGCCCATCACTCCTTATATCTATCTTCTCTAAAAATTTGTGATTTGGCTATGGTCACACAGCTTGGGTAGATATTGTCCAGAGGAGGTAGAGCTGGAAGGGACCTTAGGGGTCACAAATTCTAATCCCCTCATTTTACAGATTAGGAAACTGAGGCCCAGAGAGTTTCAGTGGCTTACCCAAGGTGATGCAGCTTAGGTCCATGTTGACGATAGAGTGTGAGATCTGGAATAATCCTTAGAGGTCATGTATTCCAATCCCCTCATTTTACAGATGAGGAAACTGAGGCCCAGAGAGTTTCACTGGCTTACCCAAGGTAATATAGCTTAGGTCCATGTTGACGATAGAGTGTGAGATCTGGAAGGAACCTCAGAGTTTGTACGGTCCAGTGCCCTTCATTTAAAGACAGGCAGTTACGGAGAGCCGGGTCCTTCATGACAAGCTCCGGTTCCTCAGATGCCCGACGTGGGCAGGCCCCAGGCCCGTTGGTGGGAATCCGTCCCCTCCTCCCCTGCTTCCTTTCTGCCCTGGCATTCTCTCTCCCTCTCAGGTGGCGCTGCTTCTGCCTACCTGATCCGAGCTGAACTTTTCCCGAGCAGACAAAGGTTAGATGGAAAACAAGGGCCATTGAAAAAAAACCCTCTCCCCTTTTATAGTCCAGGCTTATCGGAGTTCCTCCCCTCTTTCCTCGAGCCTCTTTGGCCTCATTTAACTGAAGAATGATTTCCTCTCCTGCCTGTCCTCTTCGTCTTTCTCTGCCCGGCTCACAGCCCGGCCTGTCTCCTGAGGGACCCAGCTGGGGCTCTTGGAAAAGGCTGTGCCATTCTGCAAATGCCACCGAGCCTGCTTGCTGCCTCCTCCTCCTCCTCTGTCCCATTGCCCATCTGCACAGAGATGGACGGATGGGCTAGCCCCGTGACTGTCTTCCTGGCTTGTTAACTCTGATGGGGGTTTCTGATAGTGAAGGCAGTGAGCGGACTGTCTTTGGCTTCCCAAAGGCACTTAATAGAGACTTGAAAACTGGTGGCAGTACACACAGTAGGTGCTTAATAAATGCTTGTTACTTCACCTGTAGTGATAGCGGTCTATCCATCAACAAGCAGGTATATTAAGTACCTCCTATGTGCCAGGCCCTGTGTTAGGTGCTGGTCTTACAAAGACTAGTCCAAATCTTTGCTGTAATACTTACTAGCTGTATGACCCTGGGCAAGTCACTTGACTTGCCTTTCTCCATTTCTTCATCTCTAAAATTGGGATAATAATAACACCTACATCCCAGGGGTTGTTGTGAGGATCAAATGAGATAATATTTGTGGAATGCTTTGCCAATCTTAAGCCACCCGTGCAGAGGTGTGGAGATAGGAGATGGAATATTGCGTGTTAGTTTAGCTGGAAGGGGGAGTAACGTATATATTCATGGAAAAATGCCTCTGATTGCTCACACTAGGTGGTGCAGTGGATGGAGCACTGGGTCTGAGTTCAAATCTGGCCTCAGACACGTCCTAGCTGTGTGACCCTGGGCAAGTCACTTTACCCAGTTTGCCTCAGTTTCCTCATCTGTCAAATGAGCCAGAGAAGGAAATGGCAAACCACTCCAGTGTCTCCAGAAAACCCCAAATGGGGTCATGAAGAATTGGTCACAACTGAAACAACTGAACAATGTAAGACCTCTCACGTGGTGCCTTTGAAAAAGCTTTACTGCCCTGGTGCCTCACTCCCTGTCTCCCCATGAACTTTAGCTTGCTTTGGTTTGAAAGTGCCCCTTCCTGTCCCCCAGACCATTGCAGAGCTAAATCTTTCCTAGGATTTTTCTGGAGGGTGTGATCGGTCCTTTCAAAGAATGCCCTTTTGCTGCGTTCGTGGAAAATCCTTATTTGAGGCCACCTTGGCCAGGCTCCCTGGGGGAGCTCTTGTTTGCAGGCTCTGGTTGGTCAAGTGGAGAAATTCCTTAGTGGAATTGCCCCACTGACCAACCTTTGGAATTCCAGGATGAGTTTACCCTGTAGAGCTGAGCTGCCAGTCCACTGCAGGCATAGTCTGGGCTAAGGTTACTCTTCATCCACTTGGTTTTTCCTGTGTGGATTATTCGGCCATTCTCCTTTGGGCTCTTCCTTAGTGTTTCGTCTTGGTGTGGAGAGAAGTGATTTCTTTGGGGTTTCTCTGAGGTTCGGATCCTCCCTTTGACACTTCCTAGCCTTTGTGACCACGGGCAATCTCTGGGCCTCAGTCGCCTTCCTCGCCTGTAAAGCAGGGATAACACTCCCGGGAGTACCTGCCTTATAGGGTTGTCAGGATCAGATGAAACAGGTAAACCAGTCTTCAGACATTGAAGTTGGTGCAAGGGATCCGAGGC